TTCTCCGTCTACTGGGAATACATCAAGGCGGGAGCTCTGAGTAACTGGGCCGCTCTTGTCATTGTCTTTGCCTTGTATCGAGCAGCAACCTATCTGACGGCCTGGTTCCTCAAATCTTGGACCGAAGCGTCTGATACCACGATCGCAAGAGCGCCTTCAGATTCGTTCCTATCGCGACTTTTGGATCTAGCCTTCTCTTGGCTTCCGAATCCCAATGATAGCATTCAGCTTTGGGTCCTTGCCTACCTTTGCCTTGCGCTAGCACAAACAGTAGTCTACGTCCTCTCCGAGGGACTCAGCCTTTTCATGATCTACAGGGCGGCCAAGAGCCTGTTCATTCGAGTCATCGACAAGGTCAGCAACGCAACTTTCCGATTCTACGACGTCACACCTGTTGGCCGCCTGATGAATCGCCTCGTATCGGATATTGGCATGATAGATGGTGGCATCATGGGCCCCCTGCAGCTGACCGCCTGGTTCGCCATCTCGTGGATCTCGAGCATGGGCGTCATTGCCTCTCTGACTCCGCTCTTCCTCGCTTTCTCTCTTGGAGTGTCTGCCTGGTTTGTGTACATCTTCCTGTGCTTCTTACCGACGTCGCAAAGCTTGCGAAGGCTGGAAATGGTGTCGCTGAGCCCCCTCATGTCGAACTTTGGCATTCTCCTGGATGGCCTGGGCACGATTCGCGCCTTCAACGCGCAGCCCCATTTTCAGCACAAGAATATTGCGGTCGTCGATGCTTTCCAGAAGATGGATCACTTCTATTGGAGCTTACAGTCCTGGCTCATGTATCGCTTTGACGCCTTGTCGGCGGTTTCGACATTTGCTCTCACCATAGTCGCGTTGCAGAAGGGCTTCTCCCCGAGTCTGACGGCGTTCGTCCTTACGACGGCTTCACAATTCGTCGAAGCCACCCACAATCTATGCAGGCAGTACGGTACTCTGCAAATGGACTTTGTCTCAGTCGAGCGGGTGATTGAGCTGCTCTCTATCCCCTCCGAACCCTGCGGCACCACCACGCCACCCGCCGTTTGGCCAGCTGCCGAAGACGCCATCACCTTTAACAACGTCACACTCAAATATGCCCCTCACCTCGATCCCTCCCTCGTCGATGCCTCTTTCACGATTCCCGGTGGCTCGACCTGTGCCGTATTAGGCCGCACAGGCTCCGGCAAGAGCACTCTCGCGCTGGCCCTCTTGGCAACCATGCACCCGACAGAAGGCACCATTATGATCGGCGACTACAAGCTGTCCGATCTCGACGTCCACGCCTGGCGCCAGCGCATCTCTTTCGTGGCGCAGGATCCGGTCCTCTTCCCCGGCACGCTGCGCGATAACCTTGATCCTCTCAGGCAGTTCTCCGACGGCGAGTGCGCCAGTGTCCTGGCGCGGGTGCTCGGCGGGCACTGGACCATCAAGTCACGCGTTGACGGTGGTGGAAAGAACCTGAGTCAGGGACAGAGGCAGCTCGTGGGAATCGGCAGAGCGGTGCTGCGGAGGAGTCCGCTCGTGGTGCTGGACGAGGCAACGGCGAGCATCGACCGCGAGACGGCGGCGCAGGTGCAAAAGGTGCTCAAGGGAGAGCTCGAGGGCAGCACGGTCGTGACAATTGCGCACCGGCTTGAGGCTGTGGAGGGTGCCGACTGGTTCATAAAATTAGATGCCGGCAAGGTTGTTGAAAGCGGGCCTGCCAGAGGGAGGATATAAGTTGTCAGTGTCGAAACAAACAAGATCCGTAGGTAGGACCAGGAATTTGTAGAGTATAGAAAGACTCCCAAGTAGCGGAAGGTGAAACGCGTTCGCAAGAACTCATCGCCGACCAATTTTCCGTCAACACTTCGTCCACATGTAGCGCATTGAAGTCGTAGTACAGGAGGAAATCTTAAGCTTGTGATGATCTGGCATGTGGGTAGGCCCCTTACTTACTCTCAGTGATGAAATATCAAATGCTTTGGCTTGGCTGTCTGCTTCATTCTATGCTTAACACATGTTTGACACAACTCTTCCAACTCTTCATCCGAGGTACACTGCCTACGATGACCAGCAACGTGACTGAAACGCATTTCCCGATGTTCCTTCGAGCCACCTCAATCACCACGCCGTGTGACCTCCATCCATGATGAGATTGCTGCCCGTCATGAAGCTGCTCGCATTGCTCAGCAGGAACAGGGCAGCCCCCTTGAACTCGCGCGTCTCGGCCAGGCGGCCCATCATGTTCTCCGACTCCCACTTCTCCCTGAGGCCCGGGACCTCCTCAAAGTTCTTCCGCACCATGGGCGTCATGATGTGGCCGGGGCTGATGCAGTTGACGCGTATGCCGCCGCTGCCGTCCTCCCTCGTCGGACTCCACTCCATGGCGAGGTTGCGCGCGAGCTGCAGCACGGCGGCCTTGGACGAGTTGTACGCCGGCGAGATGAGCCCCTTGTTGGCGACGCACCCGGACATGCTGGCGATGAAGACCATGCTGCCGTGGCACTTGTGCTTGAACATCTGCCGCGCCGCCGCCGTCGCCGTCATGAAGACCCCCGCGTAGTTGACCGCCATGATGCGGTTGAGGTCCTCGATCGTGTACTCGGCCGCCGGCGTGATCTGCTGGATCCCCACCGCCGCCACGACGCCGTCGAGCCGCGCGTGCGCCGAGGCGATGGACGCGATCTGCCGGTCGAGGCCCTCCGTGTCGGCGACGTCTTGCTGTCGATACGTCAGCGAGCCGGCGCTCGGGCTCGACGTGCTGCTGCGCTTCTGGGCTTCGATGAACTCGGCGCTGGGCTCTGGGGATACATTTAGGCAGTAGACTGTGACGTTTGGCGGCAGTGTCAGCATTGTGTGGGCGGTCATGGGTTGGGGGGGGGGGGGGGACGGGGTGTGACGGGCTCACGGACCTATGCCTCCGGCTTCCCTGACGGCCTCTGCCAGCTCCAGACCGAGCCCGCTTGATCCGCCCGTTACGATGAAGACCCTGTCTTTGAGATCAAAGTCTGCAAACGTCTTTTGGCCGACGTTGAAGTCTTTGAGCGGTTGGTCGTAGGTTGGGTTGTGCCTGGGTTCGGGGTTCATAGGTTTCGCGAGCTCTTGGGCGGCGTGCTGCTGGAACGCTCTTTTGCTGCCGGCTTGGCAGAATGGTGCGCGACATGTTGTCGATCGTCGCAGGAGGGCGCCTGTTCGATGGGAGGATACGATCCTGGGAGCGACTCTGGACGCAAGAGACATGCTGGACGGTCGGTGGTCGGCAATCGGCGTGCGAACTTGATGAATGGTGTTGTAGCGGATTGGATGGGATAGTGCAGTTCTTCTTGCAAGAGCTCTTGATATTCATGCGTATCTGGCTGTCTCCGTGCATCACGACGTCTGGGACGGCGGCCGAGGATTAAGTATCGCGTAGCACCTCTAGCTGTGACTTCATTTTACAATTGGTCTATGCGAACAGCGTGACGGTCGCGACGCGTCACCCGCCGTCTCGGGAAGGGATTACAGGACGTACGTCCGGCCGGACGCAATCGTTGGCTTCAGCTGGAGGCTGTCAGGGAAAGGATCTGCAGGGCTGGAGAGAATGCTCCGACAGCACAGGAGGATCGTGTTAGCACAGGCACCTTGGTGCTGAATTCAGGTACCCAAAGCCGGAGAGGAGTGGCTGATCCGGAATTGCAATCTGATAGATGACCTGGGACAAGGATCCGGAGTCTAAATCTGTACGGATACGCATCCTGTCGAAGAAGTTGCAATATAACACACAGTCGGTCTGTTCTGCCTATCCTCGTGGGCAGCAGTCGCCAGTCTCGAAGTACCACACCCACACGAGACGGATCAGATGCATGGAATCATGAGATCTCTACGGCACATTGTTCCTCAACGGCTGCCCTCCAAGCAAAGATCATCAATCAAGAACAGTGTTGGTGTCACAATGTCGACCTAGACGGCCAGCAAAGTGTCCATCAGGAGAGCAACGGAGCCACTGAGCGCAATAAAGGTCCAGCATGGGCGCCATACCGCCTGGAGCCGCCGGTCTTGGTCTTGCATGACTTCATACACAATCATTGCGCCGCACGTGCGATCAAGAAATCAGGATTCAGGCTCCACTTTGACATCATGCGACAGACATTTGGATACGATACCAGCTCAAGATAAAGACGTGAAGTGCCTTTACAAAGACATTTTGACAGGTCACCAAGGGAAGGTTTCCCCTGTCCCCGGAGCAATGTCCGGCACCGCCACTTCCAGACACGAATTGTCTGCCACAAAGAACCCAGGTCACTCGGCGGCCTACAGACTTCGGATCTTGCGTCCGCAGGCCAGGTGAAGAGGACGCCGAAATTCAGGGGACTCCGAGATCACCGACAAGCAATAATCGGACTGACTTCCCCGACGGGCCTCATACAATCTGCTTCAGCGGAAATCTTCCTCCTCCACAGCTGGAGACACGTCCGGTCTCGATCTGTTGTCCTCGTCTCCACCAGCTCCAGGGACTGCCAATTTTGTAGACGAACTTGCAATAAGTAGTCCTGTGCGAATGATTCCAGGCGCATTGGTCTCAAACGCCACCTCGGAGTCTTGCAGGAAGGGGGGAACAAGGAGTGAAGGCTCCGCAGGGAAGGACATCGCAGGCGACGGCTGAGAACCGACGGACCAAGAGTCGACGGCAGAAGCTAGCGTCTCACCTGGGCGAGATATGCCATCAATGATGATGGAGAAGGACTCGCAATTTGGGCTTGATGCTGTCGCTCGCAGATATGGATCCTCGGTACTTGAATCGGGGGCTTCGCTGATAGTAATGCTCCTGGTTCTTCGGATAGTGATTGTAGTGGTCAAGTTATCATGTAAAACAGCAGTCTTCAAAGAAGCAGAGCTGGTGGACGAAAAGCCGTAAGTTGCATCAGACAAGGCATTCCAGGAATCTTCGGAAGAAACAGCTAAGCTGGGCAAAGCAAAGGTAGGAATAGCAACATCCGATGGCGAGGCAGTGGAGGAGCCAAATTCGGCAGACTGCCAGCCTGTTGGATCATCTAGAGGAGGTTCGCACGAACCATAAGCCCACTCGTCGATGGTATTCGGTCCCCAAGCGACCACGTCAGTGCCGCAGTCAGCATAGGGCGCAAGGTAAACGGCCTTCGTATCCACGTCAAACACGGCTGCTGTTCCTTAGCCTGCATCCTAGCAATAGCTCGGAGGGGAGGAATGATACCTGTGACGGCAGCAAGAAACGTTTCACCGAGAATGAAGTCTGTGCTTGCATCTCCTCGAGAAATTCCCAGAAGGCATGCGCCTTGGGACTCAGCATCTGTGACAGGGTCCAAGATCAGATCCTCAATGGCGACGTCAATGTCGAAAGCTGATAAGTCACCCGCACCACCGAAGCCAAACCGGATATACTCGGCTCCATCAAAGCTACACGGCAAGCTGTAGAGAACCTCTCCATCACGTCCTGCTTTCGGCAGGGAATACGGGTCAAAAATACCCAGGATGACATCGAAGGCCTCGGCAGGAAACCGCGTCAGTCTGTTTCTCGTGTTGAAACACGCCGGACGATCGTCGTTGGCCAGAGCCACCATGGAATCCGAGTCCGAAACGAGAATCTGAAGCTTGGCCAGAGAAACACAGTATCTGTGATCATGATCGATTTAGTGCGGCTCCAAGTCTAAGGCTCGTGAAGACTTACGACGTGGAATGTTGGTGCGTTGGGTCCTCAAGAAGACGGACATGGTTCATGGGCCCGTAGTACTTTCCGACATCTATGCCGCCGAGGGTGAGAGAACCTGCGCGACCTGTGAGATCTTTCACGTTCCATGCATCTTCATTTGTAGTTTTGTGAAACTTGCCTTCAATTACGACTCCCGGGTCTCGCGAGCTTTCGTGGGTCAGTGAAAGGCTAAACGACCGGCTGTCAATTTGACCAGTCTGAACGAGCCTGTCCAAGAGACCGAATCTAAAAACACCAGGAATTTCCTGCCCGAGTCCAAAAACACCGACGGGGGACTGTTCATAGTACATGTTCTGATTCAGGCAAAGAAGTACGTCATATGAGTATCCTATTTTGGAGTCAGATAATTCTCTTGGGAAAAGGAGGCTGTGAGCGCACCGGCAAATACAATCATCTCATTGATCGCCGTGCCGAAAATCTTAGCAGGAGTTTCGAAGAAGCTGAAGCTGAGAGAAGTGTTGATCATTGATTCAGATGCAGCCGGGTTGTAC